AGGTAAAAGTATATATCCAGCCAAAGTTCATAATGTTTAATGGATGTCTTCTTTTAAAGATAGACAGTCAGGCATGCCGACCTGGGCTAGGCATGCCAGTCTGAGGTTAGCCTGGGCTATAGAGTAACCTTGTCTCAAAACAACCAACCAATCAACCAAACAGAAGACACACAAGATCTATAATGTTTACATTCCATTCCTCATGGCCATCTCTCACATTCCGATGAAACAACACAAACACGTCACGACTCTATGGCTGTGTACAGGGACCCTGTCTCAAAAAAAAAAAAAATACTGATGCGGTGGCCCACATCTGTAATTCCAGATGAACTTCAGCCAAAACCCCATTAATTGCCTGACCTCTATAGGCCCCTACTTTATTTTATTTTATTTTTGGCTTTCTGAGACAGGGTTTCTCTGTGTAGCTTTGGAGCCTGTTCTGGAACTGACTCCGTAGCCCAGGCTGGCCTCGAACTCACAGAGATTCGCCTGCCTCTGCCTCCCCAGTGCTGGGATTAAAGGTGTGCGACACCACCGCCCGGCTAGCCCCTGCTTTACCTGGAGGGCATCCACCAGACCCCGGAAAGTCTCCAGTGCAGTTACACTTGTAGAAAGCCGCTGAGGAAGGATGGGAGAAAGGCTAACGGTAAAGCTCTTAGGACCTAAGTTCTCACCTTCCCAGAGCTGTGACCCTTTAATACAGTTCCTTGTGTGTGGTGACCCCATGGTAAAATTCTTTCATTGCTCCTTCATAACTAATTTTGTACCGTTCTGAATCATAATGTAACTATCTGATAGGCAGGATATCCAATATGTGACCCCCCCCCCAAAGGGATCGCGACCCACGGGTTGAGAACCACCGTCTTAGGTACTTTTCAGCAAGCTCCTTTCTCAGGGGACCTGGCCATCCTTTCATTCAAGGGATTCTAGATCTGTAAAATGACTTGTCTGGAAATTGGTTCACGGGCTGAGATTCCCTCTTGTCACGGCTCCATGTAGCCTTTTCTTTCGTTTGTTGGAGAATGTACTTGCTTATACAGATCAAACAAAAAATGCAGTAGGCCTCTTCCCTATTTCACGCTTAGAAACACCATGACCGATTAGTCAGTCCCAAATGTCCACAGGAGTCATGCCACCATCAAAATCACTTTTCCTGTGCTGGCCACCATGGGTCAGGCCATTATGGATACTGGCCTATGCTGCCCACTATGAAAACTACAATCATCTTGCCTTTGGCCATCCAGGGCAGCCAGCCCACCTGGAACCCGATACCTCAGGGTCCAATTAAACCCATTGCATTGAGTTCCTCCAACTGAGCAGCAGCATCTCTAACCCTAAGGTCTGGCACAGGAAAAGGGAGACAACCAAGCTCTTCAAATGTGCTGGTGCAGGCAGGAGAGATGGCTCAGTGGTTAAGAGCATTGACTGTTCTTCCAGAGGTCCTGAGTTCAATTCCCAGCAACCAGAGTAAGTTCCGGGGAAAGGCGCAGAGCTACACAGAGAAGCAGAGCTACACATAGAAGCAGAGCTACACAGAGAAGCCCTGCCTTGAAAAACAAACACGTGCTTGTGCCTCTCACCATTTCCTATCTTATAGGATGAGTGAAGGGCGTGTCTTCTGGGCCTTCCCATTATGAAGGATTAGGTTTTACACAGCAAACCACTCTAGCATTGCAATTTCCCTGAACCTTAAAATCCCTTCATCATTGGTCCCTGTCTGGACTCCTGGGATTAAAGAAAAATAAGGAAAGCCGCCTGACCAAGGTGTCTCTGAAGTTTGAAGAAAAGGAAATAGAGCATGTCCTGAAAGGCAAAGCTTTCATTGGTAATATCCTAGTTGCTGGACTGCCCTGAATGTTTCTCTCTCCCCACCTGCAAGTCTCCAGGTGACGTTTGGCAGACTGGGCAGTCTCCATTTTAGTGTATGGATTCATTGGCTCTTACTGCTTTTACTCATAAAAATGACCGAGTAGCTGGGTATGATGCCTGTAATCCCAGCACTTTGGAAATAGAGGCAGAAGGATAAAGAGTTCAAGGCCATCCTTTGCTACATAGTGAGTTTGAGGCTGGCCTGGAATACATAAGACACTTTAAAAACAAAACCAATGACCCTTTTAAAGTACTATTCGGTACCGTTTCCACTTATGCACCTAACCAATGTGTCTGCAAGGATATACAGACTTGTATTGGAAAAAAAAATCCCTTCATCAAACCAGGGCTGGGGCGGTGGTGGCACACGCCTTTAATCCCAGCACTTGGGAGGCAGAGGCAGGCGGATCTCTGTGAGGATCTCTGTGAGTTCGAGGCCAGCCTGGGCTACAGAGTGAGTTCCAGGAAAAGGCACAGAGCTACACAGAGAAACCCTGTCTTGAAAAACAAACAAACAAAAACTTCATCAACACTAAGCCTAGGGATACCAGGCTTCTCCAGTTGCTTTTCCTTAAGGCCATCTTTTGACAAATATTTTAATCAACCAGTCAAAAAAACTTTTCATACCATTTTTAACTGTGCAAATTTCCACATTGAACCTACTCTCCACTTAGTGGGCCCATATCAATAAACTCAGTCTGACCCAATTTTATGTTCCTTCCACATTATCCCACACCCTTAAATGCATTCCCACACGTTTTCTCCAGACTTCTGCTTGAATGCATTAGAAAACTCATTAAGCTCCTGAGTAGTACACCACACCTCCTCATGGTCCACACTTTCTACCTCCCCTCTAGGAGCCTGCTCGGCCTTAAGTCTGGTTATAGGTCCAGAGGCAACTATTGGTGGCTCTCAGTGACATGAGTATTGTCTGGCATCTCCTTCAGGGACAATCACTGCCGGTTAGGCAGACAATGAAGGGTTAATTTCCTCAGGTAAAGGCTGGGAGGGCAATACTTCAGGGGTTGGGCTTGAGGATAGGGATTATCCTGGGGTGAGATAAAGCACTGAGAATCCGGGGGGGTCTCCGGGCTCAGTGGGGTCTTCCATGCCTGTATCCTATTACAGCATCTTGTTCCTTACCAACCAATATATGTACTTGAACCACTGATACCCTCCGAGGCTGGAACTTGAATTTTAATTCAGCCAATCTTATTGAGAGTTTCAGTTTGATTTTTCTGAAACGAGCTGTTGTGGCTTCTGTAGAGAAGTTTCTACTTCAGGGCACATTTAGACACCTTTAGACTGTTTATGTGTATCTGGAGCCTAATCAATTTTATCAGCGTTCATTGGTGTTCTTCCTCACTGTATCTTGAGATGCTAGAAGCTGGTTAATTTTATCATGGAGCTCATGCTTTCCTTTATCATTTTATCCAGAGATGCTGGGAGCAATCAGCCAGCATCGTTATTTTCCCACAAACCGTCAAAAGTGCCATGCGTGCAGCCACCCAATTCCTTGCTTCTCACAATAGGCAAATCAGGATAATCAAATGCATTTGTCTCCATGCTTTGTTCTCCAAGCTTCTATGAGAGGCTTCATTAACTGTTGGTGTAGGCTTCCTGGAAGCTGGCCAAGAAGCTTACCTGGCATACCAGAATGCCTCAACAAAGTAGGAGAGAAATTCCAAACGCTGTCCCTCGACCTCCACGTGAACACGCACACACATTCTTTCTTTCTACATCACTAATGAAACCAGCAGTAGCGAAGTAACTGAACAATGGCTAACTTCGATGTCAACTTGGCAGGATTCGGAATCACCTTTGGGTGTTATCCATGAAACCATTTCCTGAGGTTGCCTGGAAGACCCAGCATGAATGTGGGTAGCATTATCTTATGGATGTTGCCCAAAACTGATTTATAAAAAGGATAAAGGATAAAGCCAGCTGTTGCTACAATTCTTCCCCTGGGGAAGATGAAAGCATCTATCCCTCCTAAGGTCCGGACCACAAACTGTGGTACCATTTCACCAAAGTTCACTCTGGAGAACCAATGAGTTTATTTGGTTTGATTACAGAGCATAGGTGAGAAGTTACTGAAGTAGGGATGACCCCCAAATGCCACACCTGTCTTTCCTCAGCTGAGATGACTTTCCTATCGGTCCACAGAAGCCCCCCTTCCCTAGTCTTTCCCCATCGAGCCTCTCCCCAAGGCCACCTGGAGTTAAGGCAGTTGCAGAAAAAGCCTGCAGGGAGCTGCTGGATACTCAACGACCCTTCCCACCCCTTTGAGAGGATGCCCAGCTCGGGTGATCTTTTCCGAGTACAGCTTAATGCTACAAGATGGTGGCTGTCCTGAAAGATACTCCTAAATGCCACCAGCTAAGCACCAGTCTTCACTTTTGAGACAGGGTTTCCCTGTATAGCCCTGGCTGTCCTAGAACTCACTGTGTAGACCAGGCTGTCCTCGAACTCATTCATATCCTCTTGCATCTCCCTCCCAAGTGTTGGGATTAAAGGCGTGCACCCCCATCACCAGACTTTACGAATTGTAGACTAGAAGCAATATGACGGGACACCTCCCACTCCTACCATGCCTCCCTTTCCTGTTATGATAGATTGCCACAACTGACAGAGCAATAATGTGGCAAAAATTTTAACACTTTGGGAACTAGACCGGCTATTAATGGAATGGACTTTTAGAATACCTATTTCTGTTTTATGTATGAGTATGTTGCCTGCTTATATGCCTATGGACCGCATGCACTCAGTATCTGTGGAGGCCAGAAGAGGGCAACAGATCCTCTAGGGCTGGAGTTACAGGTACTTGTAAACCAAATAGGTACTGGGAACAGAACCTGGGTCCTCCGCATGAACAGTCAGTGCTCTTAACCTGAGCCATCTCTCCAGCCTCCAACTTTCAGACCAAATTGTGTTGCTTTGGGATCTACCTAAATACACTCAAGACAAGGAGCTAAGTCAGAATGTCTACTGATACTATAAATGTCTTTGCCTGGTAATGATGCTGTTCTCTGCGTAACTACCCACTCTGGTGGGAGGCTGCAGGGGGACAAAGATGTTAGGAGTCCATGGGAATCTATGCCCAGCTTCGCTATGAATGAAGAGTCTGGCAATTCAGTAGATCCAAGCATTTTATTAAGTCAGGTAAGGAATCTCCACATTGTTACATACCGGCTTATCCACTTCTAAGGGCATGTCTACAGACAGTTGAGCGGAGGTTGGCAAGTCCCAACGTCAAAGGACATTCAAAAGCTACCACAGTAAAGGTCATGCAAACCCTAAAGCCGTGAATCATGACAACAGCTCACTCTATTCTTTTCAAATTCTACTTTTTAACCAGAAATAATCTGATGAGTAACAGGTTATTACTCATCAGATACACATTTTACCCAAGAATATTAAACCTCTTACCAACTTACTGCTTTGATTAGAAAACAGCCCTTATCATGGTAAAGGCTATTTTTATTAATGAGACTTATGGCAAAACCCATGCCCTTTATTCATGTGCCTTCAAATACCAATAAGGTTATATATGATGATACTCAAATATTGGTACAGAAAAACACTGTGAAGATGAAGGAGGTTAACTCAGTGAGGCTGTAAAATAGCCTGGTTGTGTAACTTGGGTGAGTGGTGCCGAGAACCTTGAGACCCTACCTAGTGAGTCTTATGTGGCAGCTTTGAACTGCCCCATGACAAAACTGATTAGGTGCAGATGGCTAACTAGTCCTTGCTAGCGTGATCTTAAATCTTGTTCATATAAGCAACATTTATAGCTACCATAGCGATGAGCAGTACATCAAGATCCTTTGCAAGCTTTGTTTCCCAACACCCTTTACTTCCTACTCTCTACCTTCCAAAATCCCCTTACTTTAAGCCAACAATGGATTCAAACCTGCTTGAACTACATTTAGGAAATAACATGCAGATAAAGGGAGATAGTTCAACTCATTTATCACCAGCATACATTACAAATGTATGCTTCTATTCCATAAACAGAAAATCTTGAGAAACCAGAGATAACAAAACACCCACATTAAATTGGGGGGAAAAAGGATCTTGGAAATGATTTTGTTGTCCAGCAGTTGAATATACCCACCAAATGCTTAATGACGTTTCTGCAACTAAAGCTAAGGAGTTACGAGAAGTTGGGAATTCATGTTAGATACTAACGATCTTCAAGCTTTGAAGATGTCATTGCATGAAGAAAATTATGGGAAACACTGTTCCCGATAATTATGTACACCCTTAGTGTAACATATGGAGATCACTGTCTCCGATATAGACACTGTGGTAGGCAAAAACTACCTTGTTCTTTATACATTATGGAAGACACTGCTCCCGATAATGTGAGTTAAGTTTGTGACAAAGGTACTGGAAATTTTGCAAAATTGAGTTTGAGTTACATCTTGAATAACTGAGCTGTAAAATTCTGCATATGTAAGTACTACCACAGCCTTCAAATGGCATTTATCTTTTAACTTGGCCACAACTCACTGCACCTAGGAGAACTATCTTTTTTCTGGACAGTTAAAAGTCTGACTGGATTAGGAATCCCTCGTTACATCCAATTCTCTTCTAGTTCTTGTCTAATAACCCGTTGGCTTGTGACTTTCTCCTAAATCGGCAAGTGCTGACCATAAGTGCAAAACTTCCAGTATCTGTTGGGTCTTATTAGCAGATGCTGCTTTATTAAAAGAAAACGACAGTATAACTGTCATAATTATGGAAGGCACTGCTTCCGATAATTATCTTCTATAAAAAAAACACTATTTATAGTGAACTCTGTCACTGATAAATAAACAATAAATATCTCAGTGCCAAAATGATAGAAAGCTTCTCCCAAAGACTTAACACTTTGGCCAAAACTTGGCAGTGTGTTCTTTAAAGTCTGACAAACTGAGTCTAAAACTTGTTCTTTTTCAGAAAATGTCAGGAAAAAACAAAACAAAACAAAACAAAGAACTAAACACTACTGGGCAGATGCCAGGAGAGAAAATGTGAAGTCTTTGGCTTCTGGTTTCCTCATCACAAATAATGTAAGGTTAACCAGTAAGGCCTATTCCTGTAGTAAGCAGACAAACTCTCATCAGCAGAAGGACCTATGTCAACCTCCTGGCAGACATACCCATCTCTTCTGAAAGTAACTGTCTAATTTAGGAAATGGAAACCAGATAATCCTTAAGGGCACACAGCTCACCTGGAGAATCCCAGTGAGAATCAGATGAAGATGGGGATCACACCCAGATACCCCGTTGACCCTCAGCATCCCTCTTCCTCAGACCTCAAAAAATACTAGCTGATGCCCTCAGGACTAGAGCAATGTTCTTACAACTGGTTCCGACATTTTCATGACCATAATGCAAAGAGGAAGTTATTATAAAGGACTCAAAATTCTAAAGATAATCTGAGACGCTATCATAAATGGAAAGTGTTATCCACTGGAACTTGAAGTGTAGGTCCAACCCTGCACTAAAAGCTGCTGCCTAAAGACATTTAGTATCAAGATTGGGTAGAATTCTAACATTAGATTTGAGCTCTAATGAAAATTTAGCACAACCAGTACAAGTCTAGAAACAGACTACCCTGCCCTTTTACTTATGTTACATTTAAAACTCATTGTCAATATCCCAAATGTCACCAGAGAGGGCATTTGCGACTCCCTGAATAGTCCAAGTAGCTAGGGCCAACTGGTTTCTGAAGAGTGTTTCATCAAAAGCACTAATATTTCTCTGACGCAACTTCAGGTTCTCCACTAAAGCTGGCAGAGTGTGAGAGCCAGAGCCAAAGAAGATGTGTCGGAAAGGAAACTCTCTTGGAGAGACGTAGGGAGACAGGAAATGATATTCCACCTGCAAGACAAGGACAAAACAGCTTACACAGTGCTGTGACTTGTGACTACTCATTCTCCTTTAAATTGTCAAACTCCCTCTACTGAGACTATGGGAGAGCAGTTACATTACTATCACCTAAGTCCAGACTAAGTTTCAATTCCATTACTAAAAAGGGTATGGAGATTTTTTAATTAAAAAATTTATGTACCCAAGCAGGGTGCACCAACTGCTTGCCTTGGGAGGCAGAGGCAGGTGGATCTCTGAGTTTAGGCCTGTATGAGTTCCAAGACAGCTAGTGCCACACACAGTCGGATCGGTCCTCTGTCACCTTTAAAAATCCTGGGATCTACTTAGGTAACTAAGCTTGCACAGTAGCTGCTCTTACCTGCTGAGTTGTCTCTTTGGTTTTGGTATGGTTGGTTGTTTGAGACAACGTCTTGCTTTATTATAGGTATGGTTGATTGCTATGCATATCTCCAAATCAGATCTACTTGCTTCAGTGCTAAGATTAAAACCGTACACTACTACACCCAGCCTAACTAACATCAGTCTTGTAATACATCCAGTTTCTTCTGATTATGGCCAAAACTCATTAAAGATTTCTTCTGAAAAATTGCTAGGGATGGATTGGAGAGATGGCTCAGTGGTTAAGAGCACTGGCTGCTCTTCCAGAGGTCCTGAGTTCAATTTCCAGCAACCACATGGTGGCTCACAACCATCTTTAATGAGATCTGAACTACAGGCATACTTGCAGGTAGAACACTATACATAATAAATAAACCTTAAATGTTTTTAAAGCATAAAACACAAGATTAAATGTCTCTTGCTATTTCTAGGTTAGATATTACTTTGAGCTCATGATACAAATTAAAATCTGTGTTCAATTCTAAAGCAGCAAAGGCTGCGACTGCTACCCACAACTACCTATTTTAGTTCCTTCTTTCCTAAGAGTATACTCACTTTCATAATACGGTCATTGATTTCCCTCATGACAAATCTGTTTGTTTTCTCAGCATTGTGGAAGTCAGTCGTTAGTCTAGATGTAGCACGGAAAAAGTCTCCACGAGCAGAATACAGCCACTGTAGACTCAGACCCATGGCCTGTCAAAAACAGGTTCAGTTGTTCATTAGATGCTATGATTCTTTAAAGGTAGGGGTCACATACTCTATAGCTCAGGGTTAGCCGGCACTCACTTTGGTTGCCCAGGCTGGCCTAGAACTCCAGGCAATCCTCCTACCTCAGCTTCTGAGTGCTGGAATTAGACACGAGCCACCCCACCCACTGTAGAAATTGTATTTCTAAAAATGTCACTGTATATAACTTCCCACTTTAGATTCGACAATTACTAATTCTCAAAGGACTTACATGTAAATTCAAGACCCAAAAAGCTACATTTTTAAGCCCCGTGCATCAGAGGCTGTATAAACCATGGTAATAAATTCATCTTTGAGCCAGACAAGATAATTCAATTGTCTATTCTTAGCCTCATATAGAACCTAATAATTAAGAAAAGCAGGCTGGAGAGATGGCTCAGAGGTTGAGAGCACTGGCTACTCTTCCAGAGGTCCTGAGTTCAGTTCCCAGCAACCACATGGTGGCTCATAACCATCTATAATGAGATCTGGCTCCCTCTTCTGGCCTGCAGGGATACATGCAATCATTGTATATATAATAGAAAAAAAAAAGGAAAGAAACATAAATGGTTTCCAGTTTAATTCCCCACGGGGAAAACGTCCAACACTTTGATATGCACTTGAAAATTTTTTTCTAAGTTCCATTTTCTGAAGTTTGTTTCAAGAAAGCTCCAGTCACTGTTTAAGGGGTTTAGAAGATTGGCTCCTAGTTCTGACAGAGGCAGAAGCAGGCGGATCTTGAGGCCAGCCTGGTCTACAGTGAGCTCCATGACAGCCAAAGCTACACAAAGAAACTCTGTCTAGAAAACCAAAAACAAGTTATCTGGCCAAGAATTGCAATGGTATCTACTGGTGTAGGATGATAATCTGTAGGTTTCTCTGTGTATCCCTAGCTGTCCTAGAACTCACTCTGTAGACCAGGCTGGCCTTGAACTCAAAAAGATCCACCTGCCTCTGCCTCTGCCTCCCAAATGCTGGAATTAAAGGCATGCGCCTCCCCGTCGGTCTAGGAAAATCTTTTCATACTCTAAGGGAAAGCAAAAGGCTGCTGGAACTGGTGGTACACAGCTGTAATTCCAACATTTGAAGGTTGAGACAGAGGATGGATCCAAGTTCAAGGCCAGCCTGGGCTACAGCAAGATTCTGCCGCAGAAACCAACCATAGACAGTTGAATTGGTAGATGACAGTGGTTCTTCCCAGGAGCTGATGGAAGCAGCAAGGAGAATAAAAACACTATAAATTCGGGGCTTACCTTGATGTCTGCTCTGAACTGGTTCAGATCCTTCACAAATGCCAGTATTTTGTTGTTATACATTTCATAGTCCAGGTTCAGTTCAATTTCATGGGTAAGTTTAATAATGAACTGACCAGCCACTTCAGCTGCTGCACGAACCATTTTGTTCAGCTGAGGAACTTTGGCAATCAATTGATCATAGGTATCCAAAGTAGTGCCCAAATAAGGATAGTCCTCATCCTAGAAGACAAAGAAAGGCTGTTTATTGTACTAGGGGGAGCTGAGAGAGCAGAGGCCTTACCTTCTGGGTTTACCATCAAGGCAACAGAGCATGGAGACTCAGCTTCTGTTCCCAGAACCCACATTGACCTACACACACACACACACACACACACACACACACACACACACACACACACACACACCAGGCCAAACATATGCCCACAAACACAATAATTCTTAAAACAAATCCAGTAATGTCAACCTCCAAATGCAGGTGTTTCATTATTCCCTAGACTTTCCAAAGTCCACTTAGGTCCTAGCCTCTATGGATCAATAACGGACAATTTCCACTCTGGCTCCCCAGATGCCGGGATCTCCTCATCCTCGTCCAACGGCCATTTCTGACTCTTGCACAGCAGGACAAAACCCTTCTGTTGCCTTGGCTGGGCCGTCAGTGCCTTCTCAGCGGCTCTCATGACAATGGGGTCAGTTCAACATCGTCTCACAGTTAACTTATGCTTTGTTTGGTTGTTGCTTAAAAGAACATTTCTGGGGCTGGAGAGATGGCTTAGTGGTTAAGAGCACTGACTGCTCTTCCAAAGGTCCTGAGTTCAATTCCCAGCAACCACATGGTGGCTCACAACCACTTGTAATGAGATCTGGCGCCCTCTTCTGGCCTGCAGGGACACATGCAGGCAGAATACTGTATACATAATAAATAAATATTAAAATTTTATATATATATAAAATTTCTGGCTGGACAGTGGTGGCACATGCCTTTAATCCCAGCACTGGGGAGGCAGAGGCAGGCAGATCTAAGTTCAAGGCCACCCTGGGCTATAGAGTGAGTTCCAGGACAGGCTCTAAAGCCACATAGAGAAACCCTGGGTTAGTAGAGAGGTGGGGCATACGAATGTCTTATGTGTATAATATATGCTCTGTATGACAAATGTGTGTGGCAAAAAAAAAAAAAAAAAAAAAGATTTCTCAATACCTAGAATACATTCAATAGGTATCTAAGAGTGTTGTTCAACAGATCTTTAATGGAAATATATCTGTGCACTAAAAGAAACTAAGTTAAGCTAATGGCAAGTCAATTATAATTAATAAGGAAGCATAAAATAATTACAAGTTGAATAATAACTGAGAAATTTGGTTTCAAAGTTATTATAAGACCTAATGAAAACACTACTGACTTCTTACCTCACAAAAACAAAAAGAAACTGCTGGGATTCCAGAATATGCCAGAAAAGGGAGAGCAGCATTGTCAAGGGAGAGCGGCTCACTGCAAGGAGAACAAGAGCAATCTTTAGCAAGCATTCTGAACAGGAGCCCACCAGGTAACACCCCTCCCCTGATAACCAGGTCGCTGTAGCGGAGCTAGCCAGGCTAAGTAAGGGCAATGTTCATTCACTTCCACTTACACTTTGTTAATCCAATTGCTGTCTTGATAGAGAGATTTCCCATTAATAGGATGCTTTACCTGTGAAATGAGAAATAGCTCATTAAAACCTAGTTTTTCTGTACTTAATTCAGGCTCGCCACTAACATTCTTTTGTCTATAAATACTTAAAATCTCAGCTACCCACGCTGTCCACACCATCAGTCCCTTAGGCAAGGCTGAGTCTCCCGAATGCCGGCCTTTCTGCTTTCTTGTGATAGTCCTTTAACTGCATCTTATATGCGGCAGATGCATCATTTTAAGCCCCTCTAAGCTGCATGGATAGGCCCGTCTTCTTTCTGTTCACTTCTTTGTCGCACATCTGAGACTGCCAGACTAACCCAGCAAGTGTACTACTATCTTGTTGGAGACTGGAGCAAGATCAGTATCTAGTTCTTTTCCTCCATCTTTAATCACCCCGGGCATTCTCTTCAATGTAATTGAAGAGATTCAATATTCTCTGTAAATATTCTCTACAGCATATTCTTCCCTCATTCAAAACTGTAATTACCTTTTTCCATGGGTATTTTCTCTGGTGTTAAGTCCTTCTGAACCTCCCTTAGCAGTCTACTTATCTCCTGTGAGGGCCTAAAACAGGTCAGGCCTGAGGACAATAATCCTAAAGATGATGTATTCTGAGAATCTTTTAGATACTCCATCTCACAGTTCAGCAGACTGAGGTTCGGTAAGCTGGGCACATGAGTAATACTGCTACAGAATTTACTTTCAATTCCTATCATTGGTTACTGATAACACGGTGTGTTTTGTTTTGACAAAAAGTCATACAATTGTATAACTAGTATACTCACATCCTGCATTGTCTTCCCAATAAGGGTATATAACAGAGGGCTGGCAGAAACCTTGAAGTTGCTAGTACCTGTAAAGAAATTACATTTTTAACATTTTCCCCTTTCTAGACAAGCAATTTTCATCAATAATTCTACAAGTATGCCGCCGGGCAGTGGTGGCGCACAGCTTTAATCCCAGCACTCGGGAGGCTGAGGCAGGTGGATCTCTGTGAGTTCCAGGCCAGCCTGGTCTACAGAGTGAGTTCCAGCACAGCCAAAGGTACACAGAGAAACCCTGTCTCGAAAAAAGATCAAAGGTAGTCAGCCTTAAAATGTGTATTCCTTCAGTGGTGATACTACTATTGATCTGAGAATCATGTTGGATATATGATCTAGAAAAGGCATTTATTTATGCAGATTCTATAGTTTGATGGATTGTTTAGACCTGGCTATGGCCAATGTACACTGCAAACACATACCAAGTGCTACTTTACAGTCAAGTCTGCTGTTCCCTTGGAAGGGATACTTACCAAGGACAACTTTATCCAGATTAATGTAAGTGAAAGCTTTCAAATGTAGAGACGAAAGGTATCCCTAGAAGAGAGGAGACAGTATTACATACTTGTACCTAATTAATGTATACATTAAGAAGCATCAACCTTTCACAGATAGGTACTGATCTACTTTCCTTTTTTTTTTTTTTTTTTTTTTTTAGATTTAATTATTATGTATACAGAAGAGGGTGCCAGATCTCATTACAGATGGTTGTGAGCCACCATATGGTTGCTGGGAATTGAACTTGGGACCTCTGGTAGAGAAGTCAGTGCTCTTAGCCTCTGAGCCATCTCTCCAGCCCAAGGATCTACTTTCAAATCTACACTGAGACCTAGGTAGCTCTCTCTCTGGAGGACAGCTTAGACTCACTCTGGACACCGAGTATGGCGTACCTCGAGCCACTCGGTGGCGCCCACAGCTCCGAAGTCTCCTGCACTCCAGCTGGCAAAGATTATGCTTCTGCTGGGCTTAAAACCCCCTGGAAGGAGAAGAAAATCACCTTAGGGGGGTTCCGGACGGGTGGATGCCTGAAGATCAAGTCAAGACTCAAAACCCAGTAAGGACAAAATCCTGTGAGTCAGTGTAGGACAGTGTCTGTGTGTATGTATGTAACACTGAGTACATGGCAGGGCTGTGCACAGTATTGGTGGTTACTCCCTGAAAGCTGTTGAGTTGCCGTATTGAGTACTCTTTGAGTACAATCTGCCTAGAAGCGAGTTACTTAAAATATGATTTACCTTATTCTGAGACAATCTACCTTGTCCGAGCTCACTTTAAATTCACAAGCAACATCCCTGCTTTATTTAGGCTCAAGCAGATATGACTTCAATGCCACAAAAGGCGTAAGTTTTAGGAAGTCTCTAGAGTATGAACTTTGTGACAAATCCTTTAGGCAGTACATGTTCCACAGGCCACCAACTGCCCTGTTTCTATTTTCTACATTCTGTATAAAAGCACCACTTTAGACCTCAAATAAGAAATGTAAGATATTGGGTTTGCATGCATGTGTCCCAAGGTACATGAGAGAATGTCTTGGAAGTAGAATTATGAAGTTGTTAACCTTAGCACATTATATAAAGATATGGGGGTTATTTTCAGGTAAACTCAAGACCCATGTTAGTTTGGTTTATCTTTCAATACACATTGGGCTAAGAATTATGGCTTAGTATAATACTAAATACTACTCAGTGTTTCAAAGAATTAGATCATCACTAGTTCAATGATGACACTTAATGGAGAAACATTACAGGTTAAATTCAGCAATGCAGAATGTAACTGATAGAGTTACATAGAGCTTTTCTACTGTACCTCTTGAGACCATATCTGAGAATACTTGAGCAAGTCTCAGCAGAAGACCTGTTCCCACACTGGACTTCGCAGCACCAGGACCCCAGGCATCTCTCTGGGCTCCTACTACAATGTAACGGTCTAAAAAAAAGAAAGACAACACACAATCACACTTTTTATTCTGAGACAACGCCTAACCAATTTAGGATTCTCTAACCTCAATTTCCTAACACTGGGATTATAGGTGTGCTACCATGTCCAGCTTTTTTTGGTTTTTAATTTCAAAATGGTTCTATTAATGAAATCTACAATAAGCATGTCAGGTGTGAAGGATAAAAGCCTAACTTCAGATGACTTAGGATGCCAGGGGTTAAAACTCACAGGACAATGACTCCCTCCCATTCATGCTACTGCTCTTTAACCACATCAGCAATTTCCTATCAACTGAGATCCAAGGACTGCCCTTATTCAGGAACTGTGGCTGTGTTTAATGTAGGTTAATGTAATCCCTGGGACTGTACCCTGTTCACTAATCTTAATAGATTATTAATATACTAGTTATGCTGTTTTTATGCTACATGGACAAAACTAGATAGTTTCAGACTATAGCTCCTAACACATATATATATGGTGTATATGATCCCTTAAGAAAACCATTCATAAAAAAAGAAAAAAAACTGCTTACTTATGAAGCAGAGCTTCTATCTATAATGGTTAGTTTCAACAAGCTGATATCACAAGGCCTTGATATCTTCTAATACATTTAATCTAAATAATCAACTTTAGTGAGGGAGAACAGCTCAGTAGATTAAATGTTTGCTGCCAAGCCTGAGTTCGATCCCCAAGCATTCATGCTTAGGACCCACATTGACACAATTCCTGCAGCTTTTCCACTGACCTCCACTGCTGTGGCACCCATGCATCCACACACACATGAAATTTAACAGCCATTTTAAATGACTAGAGGAAGATACCTGATGCTTAACTCTGGCCTACACATATGCATACATGGTCATCTATGTGTGTATGTACACCAATACACAAACTTCCCTTTAGGGCAAACAAGATTTAGCACCTCACAAACCCCAGCCAGGCCAGCATCCCATCCCTGCTCCCTCCTCTAAGACACCCCTAGAGTAAGCAGACCAGAATGGAAAGTACAAGGCAGAGTCTGTACCTGGTTCCTCAAAACCTTTAATAACTCCAAAGATGTTAAGTATTCTCGTTTCTTTCAGCGCATTGTTCACAGCGAGCTTCACATTTTTGTTCTGTGTCAATTCCAGCCTACATGAAGAATCTATGTTCCAATTAGAAGGACAGTTTCCTTCCATGTTCCTAGAAACAGAAAAAGAAGCATTAGCATTCTGAGCTAGCCTTTCTTTCTCTGTTTTACAAAATCTGTTACCTGTCCAGAAATGTTCTACATTAAAAGCTATAGTTTGCTGTGGATATCGCTCTATATAAATAAAACACTGATTGGCCAGTGACCAGGCAGGAAGTATAGGTGGGACAAGGAGAAAGGAGAATTGGGGGAACAGGAAGAAGGGGGAGACAATGCCAGCCACCGCCAGGACAAGTAGCATGTGAAGACGCCGGTAAGCCAAGAGCCACGTGACAAGGTGTAGATTTATAGAAATGGGTTAATTTAAGATATAAGAACAGTTAGCAAGAAGCCTGCCATGGCCATACAGTTTATAAGTAATATAAGCGTCTGAGTGATTATTTTATACGTGGATTGTGGGACTGCGGGGCTTGGTGGGACCTGGAGAGAAGCTCTCCAGCATCAAGTTAGTCTGCATTTAAAATACATAAAAAAAAGATGGATCTCTAAGGAAGGTCTCATAGGAATCTGTTAGTACATTTTCATGTTTCCCAACCCTTTAATCCCAGCACTCGGGAGGGCAGAGGCAGGTGGATCTCAGTGAGTTTGAGGCCAGCCTGATCTACAGAGTAAGATCCAGGACAGCTAAGACTGTTATACAGAGAAACCATCTTGAAAAAACAAGGAAACAAAAACAAAAACATTCCTATGTTGATTTTAAGTATCTTCATCTAGCCAACCCATGTCATTCAGTACTGGCTGTTCCAACATGTCTGAAGCATCTAGTGCTTCACTGAGCCCTCGCTACATAACAAATAAGTGGCTCCTTATTTGTGGGCCCCTCATTCATTAATATATTTTTTTAAATAAACTGAAAACAAGATCAGAGGGGTTAGAATAACTTGTTCCGTGTTACACAGTGAGCAAGAGCTTGAAACTGGATATAAATTAGATAAGTATGAAGTCAAAGAAGTATAATGATATACTTTTTTGGAGAAAGGATCTCTCACTCACTCACTCACTCACTCACTCACTCACTCACTCCGAAGCCCTGGTTGGCCTGGAATTTGCTCTATTGATTTGGCTGGCCCTGACCTCAGGGATGCACTTGCTTCTGCATCCTGACATCCAGAGTGCTGGGATCAAAGGTGTGCACCACCATGCATAGCTCAGGTCCTATTTTTAGAAGAGGTAGGACAACCAGAAAAAGCATTACCATACTCAGCAGACTGTCACTAGAATAACTCTGTGTTGCTAAATGAAAACTGAGAACTAATGGTTACCACATAGGTTTAGATGTCAGGTCAAAATGAATCCCAACATATTTTCTTTTTCTTTTGAGACAGGGTTTCTCTGTGTAGCTTTGGAGCCTGTCCTTGGAACCAGGCTGGCCTGGAACTCACAGAGATCCGCCTGGCTCTGCCTCCAGTGTGCTGGGATTAAAGGTGTGTGCCACCACTACCCAGCCCAACATATTTTCTACAGGAACTAAACAGGAAGTACTTAAGCAAACAGACCTCATGAATTGCTCACTGGGTCAACTGAGTTTTCAAGTCTCTTATCAAGATCACTTTACCGAGGAAAAAAACTCAAGTTAGCAGATAACTATCCCCAAATTTCCAAATGTGAACAGACAACTGTTTATGTTTATTTAATCAACTTAGGCTATTAGCATTCTTGCACACTTACAACCTTAGCAGATTAGAGCTTTCAGACACACTTACTGAAATAGTTTTTCGGCAGTCTCTCTGGAGATTGTCTGAACAGGTATAGTAGGCAATCCTGATGACTGAGATGGAGGAAACTGAGTGTGATTGAAAGATGGAAAGCCAGGTGTGTACGGGTCTCCGGTTCCTAGATGAGCCTAGTGAACACAGAATAATTAGTTCCATCCATAACTCAAGAAGTTGCCCGTGTGTGAGTGTGAGTGTGAGTGTGAGTGTGAGTGTGTGTGTGTGTGTGTGTGTGTGTGTGTGTGTGTGTAGGCTATAGCTCAAACTATTTAGCAACCTAAAGCCTAAGTCTAAGGATTTCTATAAAATGTAGCTTAAAAAAAAATACTGCATCCAGACAGATTTCAATTTAAGGTACTATTAATAAAGCATTCAGCAATTATCTTCTTCCTGCCATAAATCTCCTGAGAGGATCTGAGAAAAGCACAGTAGATGCAACGCAGAAACATCCAGAGAACATTGACTCCAGAAATAACTCACATGTCCAAAGAGTGGAACGTCTGCCTTAACAATGGGGAATTTAGTCCTGTCCATGTATATCAAAACACCAATTGCATTAAAGCTTTGGGCATTTGCAACCTAAAACAGAGAAATGCAGGACATGAAAATCTGTTCACACAAAATGAAAATAACATACTGGAATTTATGCTAAAGAGCAAACTATTAGTAAGGAATCTTCACCTGGGAAGAGCACACCAATTAATTATACAATGCCAAATGATCAGCTATAAACACATACATACAGGAATCATTATACTGACTGAGCAAGTTGTATCTATATTTAGGTGCACACACACACACACCAAAAAAAAAATTATGCAAAAGAGGCCATGAATAGAGCAAAGCAAGGCATATAAGTAGATTTGAAGGGAATAAATGGAAGGGGGAAAATAATCCACAAAAGTAACATTAAGACCAGTGTACTTACCTTTTCTGCAAAAGTGATTTTCCCTGCTCTAACAATCACTAAAGATCCATTCACAGCGTATTTTAAATCTTCAAAGTCTTTTTTAGTGCCAAAATTAGCATGGACCAGTTTACCCTAGGATAAAGACATTAGGTTTAATGAGGAATGTTGTATCAAAGCTACTATAATCTGACAGACCAATCATAAGAAAGGAAATGGGGGGTGGGTGTTGATGTGCACGCCTTTAACCCCAGCACTTGGGAGGCAAAGGCAGGCAGATCTCTTAGTTTGAGGCCAGCCTGGTTTACAGAGTAAGTTCCAGGACAGCCAGAGTTACACAGAGAAACCCTATTTCAAAAAAGAAAGAAATTAAGAGGAAAAAGGCAGAGGGGGGGGGGGATGACAAAAATCAAATCCCCAACTGATAATTCTAAAGCAAAAATAAAGTGTTATTAGAAGTAAAAATCCAAGATTTCTGGCCTTGTTTTTCTCTATCTCACTCTGCCTTTACATTGCTTCAGCTATATCTAGGGTAAGTATACCAGGATAAACAGAAACAGATAGGTCAGGCATGGAAGCACTAATTACATATTTCCACATCTGAATCTCAAACTAAAAACATACAGGACAAAGGTATGGTGGATGCTGTGTTCTCCCATTTTTTAGCTTGACAGAAGCCAGTCACCTGAGGGAGAGACCTGGACTGGGGAAGCCCCGCTTGCAGGCATGTCTGTGGGGCATTTCCTTCATTTGTGATGATAGGAAGATATAAAAAAGGCCTTTTCTTAGGTGGGAACATGCTTGAATGTGTGCACATGAATAACAGCAATACAACAGGACCAAGAGCTAGGGCAGTGGTTTTCAACCTGTGGGCAGCCACGACCACTGGGAACACATTTATACAGTATGCTTCGTAACGGCAGCATAGTTACAGTAATGAAGTAGCAATGAAAATTTTATGATCGGGGTCACCACAACATGAGGAACTATTATTATTAAAGGGTCACAGCATGCCGGGCGTTGGTGGCGCACGCCTTTAATCCCAGCACTCGGGAGGCAGAGCCAGGTGGATCGCTGTGAGTTCGAGGCCAGCCTGGGCTACCAAGTGAGCTCCAGGAAAGGCGCAAAACTACGCAGAGAAACCCTGTCTCGAAAAACCAAAAAAAAAAAAAAAAGGGTCACAGCATCAGATTTAAGGTCTTGCAAAACAAAACCAGGACCTTGGAATTTATCCTATGGTAATGGAAATCCAAAATAAAGAACCTCATCAGTTAATTTTGCCTGGTTATCTAGTTTCCTCAGTAGAGACATCGGAAAAGAGTCACATGTGTTATCTTTACTTACAGTCACTTCTGCAGCTTTACTGTATGCCACATAACCCTCAGGATTCTCCAAGAGGTTCAAGTGACCACTTTCATTTAGGCTCACGGAGTTTTGAGCAATGCTACAAGATAATAAAAGTTAAAGCCATCCTTGAAGAAAAAATTCAATAGTGTTAGTACACAGAGAATAGTCTGCACTGACTGGCATAAGAAAACTCATCTCTAAATTTTAACCTTGATTTTCATTTTGAAAGTCTGACCTACTTTACAAATCTAAAAAGCAGTTACCTCTATAAAATAAGCTACTATAATTCAACATACCTGCCTTTCACCTGAATCTTCACATAATGTTCATCTCGCCAGACTTTGCTGAGTTTAAAGTCGTGGAACTGATTTTCAATATAATAGGCAAGATTTTCATCTTTTTGAGATCCAGCCTCCCGAGGGGTATATGTATTCTGGCTCAGCTGTCTGTAAGAAAATGTCTTTAGTTTTGAACAGAGTTTCTATGTATCCGTGGCTGTCCTGGAACTCAGATTAGCCTGCCTCTGCCTCCCAAGTGCTGAGACTAAAGGCGTACACCAGTCAACTAAAAAATGCCTGCATTAAAACATCTATTTTAAATAAACATTTTCAAGGGATCAAGCAAATTGTTTTAAAAACATCATCCTTCATAGTCAAGATAAATGAACTATGACTCAAAACTACTGGATTAAGTTGTTACACAAATAAAATATACCAATGCCTTAAGTAACATATTCCTTCAAGCTTGTTTTAAAAACAAAGATCTATTACCATGAAGATTCCCTTAAAACCCTAGTCTAACGGGTGTATTTTAGGGAATGACAGACAGGTTCTAGGAGACCTAACCTAGAGAACAAGCAAGGTCAAGCACTCTACTAGTACTGCTCCCACATACATACAGGTACAAATCAAGAACAATTTGAAAGAGGGCTAGAGAGATGGCTCCGTGGTTTATAGCACTTAGAGCTTGTAGGCTCTAAGCACAGTGTGCTGCAAACACAGGCAGACAACACTCATACACATAAAACTTAAAAACCTATATTTACAGAGACTTTAAAGGGAACATTAGAACAGAAGGAAACCTGACAGCCCACAAGAAACTACAGCTGACAAAATGATTCTGAAGGAAAGGCAAGGAGACCTTCCAGATGAGTTCTGATTCCCTGTCAGCAAAGCTCCCTACACTCAAGGGCAGGGGACACTCTTTTCAAGTCTGTCCTGCTCCCATAAACTGTTGAGATAACTGAACTTGGCAAGGTGAGGCTTACCTGATAGTGTCGGTGAACTCTATAGTGTCCAGTTTCTCTGACAACATTTTTTTGAGGTCTGCCCAAAACAAACGCGAAGGCTGAGGAACCTCTTCTTCTGGCTGGAAGCTTTGAGAACTGTCTGTCTCCGCGTCCTCCGGTCTCAAACAGTCTTTCTGTCCTCCACGTTTACAATAGCCCAGGTAGCCGACCATAAATCCTAAAGGCAGAGGATTGAGAGCTAAATTCAGACTCCATTTCTAACTTACACCTCAACACTTGAAAAATGTACAGAGCATCTCCTGGCCTGAAATAAGACTTCTAATAGTTCATTATAAGAAATACTTCTGAATTTCTTAAAAGACATTCTTACCAATCAAGAAGAAGATGACTATTGCAATTGCCGCATAGCAGAGTCTCCCATTAAACTTCCTGGGTTTTCTGACATTGGCCTTCATGTTATTGTCAGCATTTTCTTCTTCATCTACAGCCAATTTCATCTCCACATGACTGTTATCTCCATCGACTTGCCGGGCCAGGCTGAACCGGGTGTACGACAACGGTTCTCCACCAAACTGGTATTTTTTTTTTTGAAAAGGAAAGAAAGTGATACAAAAGTATTAATACATTACAAGAGTTTGGTCATATATTCTGTACATAATATGCTATGACATACATTCATAAGGGGAAAAAAAAGCTACCCTTTCCAACTAATACTTTTCTTTGTGCCCAATTCTGTCAATGGCAGATAAAGGCTAGCTAACAGCCTTTCTATTCTGTAAGTTTCCTATAACCTTTTTAAATTATTTTTTAAAGAGATGGGGGGGGTTTCACCATGTCACTCAGACTGGCCCCTGAACTCAGAGGCCAAGCAATCCTCTCGACTCGGCCTCCAGTGTAGCTGAAATTATCAGCACACATTTTAAGTTCTACTCAGCTACATAATCTCTCCCCAAAGAGCCAAAGCTACCCTGTGAGTATTTCTCACAATGAATCTTAATTAAGATGAAACATATTTGTGTGTGTGGGTGTTGTGATACCTGCCTCTATTTTCAGCACTTGGGAAACAAAGATTGAGTTCAAGGACAGCCTAAGGCTACACATACCCAGCAAGACCCTGACTCAAAAACACAAAAAGAGTATGCCTTTCTTTTGTGGGATCTGTTATGCCTTGAGATGTATAATAATGCCTGGTGAGAATTTGGGGTGCTCCTTTCTGTACACTGGTTGAAGTCATGTTCTTTTACTACATTTTTACAGATGGATGACAATCTTACCAAGTTAGAGATTGCTGATCTGGCTTGATCCATGATTCCAAGCTGCCACAGGAAGCACCTAATATTAGGACAGAGAATTAATGAGAGAGAGAGAGACAGAGAGAGAGAGAGAGAGAGAGAGAGAGAGAGAGAGAGAGATATCACTGCAGATTAGTGAGGGCCTTCCATTACTATGCTATGTTAATTACAATGCGTCAAACTTTCTCCTAAATATCCCTCTAGCTTTTGAGAAAAGCTTTGGGTTGAGTTTATTGAGCTAGAATCTCACTATGGAGTTCGAGCTGGCCTTTAACTGTGTCAGCTTCTCAGAACTGAGATTACAAGGATGAACCATATCAGTGTGCCCTTGACATTGACAAACAACCCAGTGTAACCCTGGACTGCATGTGGCACTGAGTTGGACAGCAGAGGGAAAGCCACAAAGGACAGGACTGGGACCTGGGACAATTAAGAAATCTGAATATAGATAATATTAGAGTCAGGGGGTGTGGTAATGTTCTAGATCATTGTTCATAGATTAAAAATTGAAGAATTGGGCTGGAGAGATGGTTCTGTGGTTAGGAGTATTGGCTACTCTTTCAGAGGACCCTGGTTCAATCCCCAGCACCCACGTGGCAGCTTACACTTATCCATAACTCCAGTTCCACAGGACCTGATACCCTCACAGATTAATGTGCACACAAAATAAAAATAAAGTATATTTGGGGCTGGAGGAAAAAAATTTTTTGCCGGGCAGTGGTGGCGCATTCAATCCCAGCACTTGGGAGGCAGAGGCAGGTGGATCTCAGTCAGTTCCAGGACAGCCAGGACTTTGTACAGAGAAACCTTGTCCCAAAACAAACAAACAAACAGAAAGTTGAAGAATCTAAGAATTGAGAGTCATGATATCAACCTGGTGATGTACATGACTTTACTCCCAGCACCTGGAAGGCAGAGGCAATTCTGCATTCGAGCAATCAGCCAAGGCCACACAGAGAACCCCTATCTCAGAAAAACCAAACCAATAAAACCAAAATGTAGAAAAAATTAATTAGATTACCATCGATATTAAGTGTGTTTAAGTAATCAAAAGAAAAAAGTATGGGGTGGCAACTCTTTCAGAGTTTTACTAAGTTTACTAAGTTGCCCAAACTGGCCTTGAACTCATGATCACACTACCTCTCTGCCTCCAAAGTGGACTGCAGGGGTGTACTGTGCCTAGATAAATACTTAAACTTGGCATCCAAAGGGACTAATTCAAAGACAAACTATCACCTGGGGGGAAAAAAATTAAAAAAACTCAGAAGCTAGAGGAGAATTAAGTCAAGACTGTCATTCTCTAACAGTCAGCCCTGGAAACAGGCTGTAATCACAGCTCTTGAAAGGATGGGGAGAATGGTGAGTTCAACACCAGCCTGAGCTACATAGTAAGACCCTGCATTCAAAAACAAAACAAACACACACACACACACACACACACACACACACACACACACACACACACACAAAAAAAAAAAAAAAAAACCAAACTAGTGGTGGTGGCGGTGGCGCACCTTTAATCCCAGCACTCAGGATGCAGAGGCAGGTGGATCTCTGTGAGTCTGAGGCCAGCCTGGGCTACAGAGTGAATTCCAGAACAGCCAGAGCTATTAAAGAGAAACCCTGTCTTGGGAGGGTGGGAACAACAACAACAACAACAACAAAAAAACAAACCCAAAACTTCTAAGTTATTCCCCAGCATTCTTGACTCCTCGAAGCCATGTGTAAGTGATCAGACCAGTTCTCAGAAGCACAATCTCTTGCTCCTTCTGTCACTGAGTTTATCACTACCACTGCACCAGAAACATCCAATTTCCAGAGCCAGAACCAGAGAGGCCCCACCCTGAACCAATTTTAATCATCCTTTTCTAGGAAAAAACAGCTTAGACTTTAATGCTTGTCTGAAATAGTTATCCGTTCCTAGACTACTTCTAGTCTCCCAAACTACTCTAGTCTTAGGTTGACATTTAGCTTTGCTGATTTAGATTTACTTAGGATCCAGCCAAGGAAGGATGCTTTATCCACAGTAAGAATTCCACTGCTTCACCATTGAAGTGATAACACATTTAATTTAAAAAGTGCCCTAAATAAATAAGACTGAGCAATTCTGAGTCTGAATGAAAACTGGCTGGTGGTATTAATGTCTACATTTGGTTTTAATTATAATCTAAGTACACCGCCCACAAACACACAAAAAAAATGTTATTTCTATTTTAATCTACAGAACCAAAATTAAGAACAAAAAAACCCAAGTCACAGCTGGGCAAGTGGTGGAGCACGCATTTAACCCCAGCATTTAGGAGGCAGAGAGGTTTATCTCCATGACTTACAGGAGAACCTACGTCTTAAAAAAGTTTAATTTAGGAAATTTCCTTTTAACCCCATTACTAAACTCTGTATTTGTCAACACCAGAGTAGTTCCAAAGTAGCCACAAAATGCCAGACCTCAGGTAAAATAAACCCAGTTATTCATTAAGTTTTATGTGCAAAACTTAAGTCACTCACTTAAAATCTCATATTTTAATCTCATATTTGATATTGGATTCCTGTATAAAGTAAGTTTTATTATAATCTTGCACAAACAACCTCAGGAGGACCCACAACACAGCTTATTTTTTATTTTATTTTATTTTTTTGTTTGTTTGTTTTTTGGAGGCAGTGTTTCTCTGGTAACAGCCCTGGCTGTTTAGGATCTCATTTTGTAGACTAGGCTGACCTTGAACTCAGAGATCCACCTGCCTCTGCCTCCTGAGTGGTGGGATTAAACCACTGCCCAGCAACATAGCCTTATTTCTAAGAACCTCTTGAATTTTCTTCCAAGTTAAATCACTGAATTTATATTCTCCAAGCATGGCAGACATATAACAGCTAAAACACCATTTCAACTATAAACTGCTAGCTGTTAATGGGCCACACCTAAAAACAAAACAATTCTCATTTGGCTTATTACCCCAAGTTGTCACTAATACCAACAATCTTTGACAAGAGACAGTTAATCTTGATTATTCTCACATTAGCTATTTATTACCTTTGTTCCCTAAGATTAGGGAAACGATTCAATTCTAATGGTAAAATTTAAAAATAAAAGCATAGTCTCACGTTTTGATCCATGACCTTAACTTTTGCGCTGTAAGATGGTAGATAAGCAAAGATATTAGCCAGACTAATCACAAACAAATGATTACCTTGAAATCTACTTTGAGCCATTTCAAAATGGGCTCTGTAATTAATATAGAGATGGTGGGTGGGGACAGAGGCAGAGTGAGATACCAAAATATTATTTCTCATATTCAAAGGGAGTAGTAACTCTAACTCCCTTTTCCCTGAAAGTCATGTATTTGTTCTGACAAGCACACCTCATTAGATAAAAAAATCACTTTCAAAACCCTTGAGCTCACATGAAGTTCCTGAGGACCTGTTCCAGATCTTGTCCCTTGTAAGCTCACTGCCCACTACCTTCAAAATTAGACGGCACCCAGTTCCCGACTTCACCCGGCTCCCTCTGTTCTTTGACATTTAAAAAACAAGCGTAAAAACACTACTCAAACTCTGTAGGTGTGTATACTTAGAATGACTTGTCAAGAGATGGAAAGGTCTGAGTTTTGGCTTTTTGTCTTTATACAGCTTCTTACTCTTTACCCCTAGCTGACCTCAAACTCAGTGATCCATCCGCCTCTGCCTTGCCCAAATGCTGGGATCAAAGGTGTGTACCACCATGCCCACCTGTTAAGAGCCTAACTTTGCTGGGTGTGGGTGCACACGCCTTTAATCCTAACACTCCAGGCAAGAGCAGGTGAGTCTGAGATCCAGGCTACCCAGTTCATAGTGTGACTCTCACTGGGGAAGGCTTTATGGGCTTGAAATGAAAAATCAGAAGAGGAAATAGAGCTAGCAGTTTTTCCATTTCCATACAGCTTTCTGAAAAGCAGCCGAAGGTCAGAACCACTTGAGGTCACTTAAGTTTATTTTGTATAGCACTCATCTGTAGATACAAGCAGTTCCACAAGGCCAGAGGTTCCTTTGCAAGTAACTTTTTATTGTTGTTTAATTCAAGGTTAGCCAAGAACCTTGCTCCATTATAGATAAGCACATTGGCCCAGGCATAACTGCCTAGCCTTAGGGTGGAGCTAGCCAGACTTGATCTCTCTCTATCCATAGTCAACACGGGCTATCTTCAACCCACCATTCCTTGACAGCATTCCCTTAAAGTTATGCTATATATAAAACTCTTTGAAAAAATATTTGATATCGGATTCCTGTATAAAGTAAGTTTTATTATAATCCTGCACAAACCATAACCTCAGGAGGACCCACAGAGGTACTTTAGAGAGGCTAAATTCCATTTTCTTTGGAGATAAAGCCCTGAATCAGCTTAAATGTCTTTGTCAAAGAGGTCATATTTCACAGTTCAGAGCCAACTGCATTAGCCATCTAGCATTCCAAATGCACTTAATCCTTAGCATAAAGGTATCGGGTGGAGGAGAATTTCTGTAAGACGGACTATTTCCCATTTCAATCCTCACATTAAAAAAAAAAAAGGCAAGCAAAGAAACTAAACAGTCCAGTCCTCTGGATAAATAATGCAAGATCATTTCAAGCACCGGGCAAAGTGTGTTAACCGACGAGTGTGCAAATATAATTCTTGCCCTCAACCACTATTTTAGAGCTGTCCAACACTGTGAACACGCTGGCTTTCTATTTCTAAATGGCTCTTACAAAGATGTCTTATTCCTAAGGTCTCTCAGCTTGAGGGCTGCGAGCGACATCCTTGCAAGGTTGCACCTAGTCTGCCCTGGAAAATGAGGTTCCACGCGCAGGGCCAAGAGGCAGAACCTGGCAAGAAAGCCCCAGGGGGGTGCCGCAGTTCCCGTGCGCGCTTCTTGGAAACACCCTCAATGCCCAGGGCACTGGTAACCGAAGAGAGGACAGACAGCTTTGTCCTTTTCAGCTGTGGACGCCCGCCTGCGAGGAGCCCCAAGGTCACCCACGTACCCCGACAGCCGTTCCCTGGGGCGACTTCCTGGAGCCGCCGCCGCCACCACGTGCTCCCGGCGGAACAAGCCCGCGCCGCAGCGTGGTGGCCCTTCCACCCTCGGACCCGCGGCCTAGGGCCGGCCTGCGGCGCCGATCCGGAGGGCGCCGGGGACAGCGGCTCCCCGGCCACCCAGCCACCCCGCTGCACCTGCCACTCGGGCTCCGCAGGTCGGCGCAGCCTCCCCGCCCGCCGGACCTGACCTCTGGCTCCCACCCGCTCGCCCGCCCGCCCGCAGCGAGCACGAGGGTCCGCGCCACACTCCCAGGCGCGCCGCCGCCGTCACTTACTCGGAGGCGCCTCTGCAGTCCGCGATGGTGCCACCCACTCTCCGCACGCCTTCTGCAGGGACCGCAGCCTCCGGACCCAGGCTTATAGCCCGGCCCCGCCCCCCTGCCGGCACGCCGGCCTCTGCGTCACTTCCTGCCGCACGTACACCTACCGAGGTGCTCCCCGCCGGGGCCCCGGAGGCGCGGTGCGCGCGTGCGCGGCGTTCAAGAGGAAAAAGGCGCCAAGGGCGGCAGGTGTCCCGGGAGCGCCCGCGATTGGCTCGTCCTCCCTCCACCGCACCCCTCCCCCGCGGTGCCGCGGTCGCTGGCGGGTCGCCCTTCCCCCCCCACCCCCTTAACCTTGACCGACAGCCAGCCATGCGGTACAAGGTCAGAAGTGTTAGCCTTTCCTCCAGCACGTTCCTGCTGGCGGGGCAAGTGGGCATTGGCCTCCGCTGCAACCACGTCGTGAAAACCTGTTTTGCAGCCTCAGAAAGGCTTGAAAAAGGACATACTGCAATGCACAGTGCAAATATTTTTTTTTTTTTTAAGGATCTTCACAAGCAGCACTTGCACCAAAGCAAGTTCGCTTTCTAAACGGAGCCGATGGAAGGGAAAAATAGAAACCAATGATAAGATTGTAGATTAACTCGCTTGTTTATCACCATTATTGCTGTTAGTGGATCCTTGCAAAGCACAGCAAATAAAAGTTCAGTTAAGGCTGTAAACATTCACACCCTTTTCTTCCTATCTGTAGTTTACTGTCCAGCCTGAGATAAGTTTACGAAGAGCTATAACGAGAGTGTGCCCTAAACCACAAAAGGATTACAGATAAAGGACTTCCTGGTGGAGTCTTTAGGGCCCCTGGAAATGTCTTTTAAAGTGCTACTTCTCAGCCTCCGGCTTATCTGCTCTAAAATGCAGCAAGTATTTAGGATTTGCTAACTGCTGGTCCCTTTACACCTGCTCATGTCCAAACTGTACTACTACCGAAATACATAATAATTTTTAAATCCACAGCACCAGCCGGGTGGTGGTGGCGCACGCCTTTAATCCCAGCACTCAGGAGGCAAAGGCAGGCGGATCTCTGTGAGTTCGAGGCCAGCCTGGGCTACGGAGTGAGTTCCAGGAAAGGCACCAAAGCTACACAGAGAAACCCTGTCTCCAAAAAACAAACAAACAAACAAACAAACAAAATCCGCAGCACCACTGCAAATTGGTAGAAGATTAACTTGGGCTAGCCACTGAGGGATTTCTTTGAAATTAAGACAATAAACCGGCATGGTGTTGCACGTCTTTAATCTCAGCACTCCGGAAGCAGAGGCAGAGGGATCTCTGAATTCCAAGCCAGCCCGGTCTACAGAGTGAGTTCCAGGCCAGCGTAGGCTACACAGCAAGAACTCCTATCTCCAAAAAACATATCTAAATGATGGCATTTTGAGGTGAAAAATCTTTGTTTCTGTTATATATATATATAATCATTTTGTTGTGTATGAGCCTGGGTGCTCATGAAGTCAGAGGACAACATTTGGGAATTGGTTCTCTCCTTCCATCTTGGGCAGCCTGGGGATCAAACTTAAGTAATTTACCCCGCTGAACTATCTCATGAAAAATCTTTTTTTCTTAAAGACTGGGGTCTCATGTAGCCCAAGCTGGTCTTGAACTCCAGATCCTCCAAGCTCTGTCTCCCAGGTGCTGGGATTACAAGCATATGCTACCACATCCAGGGTACTGAAGATGGAATCCAGGGCATCCTGGCTGGTAGGCAAGCATCCTTCCAATTGGGCTGCACCCTGGCCTGTGACCAAAATGGGTTTAGGAAATATTCATTACTATCCATTTCTATTAAATTGCAAATAATAGTTTTTGTTGGTGGTGGTTTGGTATTTGGGTTTTTTATTTTGTTATTGTTGTTGTTGGTGGTATTGGTTTTTTTTGTTTGTTTTGTTT